GGGAAGCAGAGGGAAGACAATATGGGGCATGCTGCATTATAATTATCAACAGGGACACTGAGAGCATACGAGTAGGGACAATAACTAAAAAGACTGACAACACAATCCAGCTCATCACATAATGTTTTATGTATAAATAAAACATTGATTCTCACAGTTTCGACAAACAGTATGACAATAGCTACTCACGAATGTTTATGTGAGTGTCTTTCCTAAAAAATATTTTGTAATACAATTTGTTACATAAATATAAATTTCATTTCAAACATTTGTTTTCATTATGAAGTCAGATCCATTCTGTTTTGCATGGCAGGTGTGAACAGAATTGTTTTTTATATATACTGTATATTGAAATCCTGCTGTGTTTTTTTCTTCATTTTTTTATTGAACTTTTTCCATCCTCTCCATCTTTTGCCCTCTCCAGTTGTTTGGCTGTTTGGAGATGTTTCCTTAATGACATCACAAAGGGAAGTAACCCCTCCCCCAGTTAGGTGACACTCCCAAAGCTAGGTGTTTATTCTGCTGTCTGAGTCTGCCTTCTCACCGTGAACAAAAGGGAAAGTGGCTAGAAAGCCCGATCCACATCGCCTTCCAGAGAGGGGCGTGGTCAAACTCAGCTCACTTGCATTTAAAGCTACAGACACAGACTCAGCCTGTTTTGAGCAGGGCTGAAATAGAGTGGTTCATAGGCATGATAAAATACAGAAACAGAGACAATTTTTGGCAAGAAACTTCATCGACATGTTTTATGGAGAAAAGGAGGATAATATGTGTCCTTTAAAAATTGTCAATCCCACTCAAACCAAACACTTTCAGTGTAAATAATAGCAATACAAAAATCTATATTTGATGTAATCTAACAATAGTCAAACTGTGTTTTAGAAACTTTTAATGAATCACAGCTGATGTAGGTTAATGGGTTGTTACCCACTTGGCCAAAAAAGATTAAAGTCTGTTGTTAAGTGTATCAGATTTATTTCTTTGATCTGCGTTCTGTTTAAATTAAACCCATAAAGCAAGTACATAGCCAGCTTTTCAAGCGTTTATTTCTTTAATTTATTATGGTCTAATTAAAAAAAAATTCTACACCCTACTAAGTCTTAACACGCACACATATTTTAAAAGCAATTCAAACTTTTTGAATGGATCAATTAAAACATATTGGAGATTTATCTGTTAATTCTTTGAATCTTCAATTTAGAGAGCTCCTTCAACTCTAATCCAACATGTTGTCTTGAATTAAAGATGGTTTGTTGAATGTCAAAGCAGTTGTTTTGTGACACGACTGCTAACGCTGCAGAAGGAATCACAGTTTTTGCTCTGCGAGACAGGACAACATACTAAATGAGAAAAGTTGAATTGCGTTAGTAAGGGTCATTGATATTCTGACAGTCCTGTCTGAATAGCAATTCTCCAGAGAGGGGAAAGCATCCCTGGTGAGACAAAAGAAGATAAGACACAAAAGCCTGAAAATATTCAAGTGCATCATCTTTTAGTCATTCGGCTTGGCTTTGGCTCGTGGTGAATATTCAGTTTTAAGTTGAGCGTGCCACTCTTCACTGACACAAAGAAACAGGGAAGGGGTTTATGCGTTTGGTAAGACTTGTTGACACACTGAAATAACATGCCAGAGCAGCACTTTTTCACTTAATTCATGACCCCAGGGCTACTTTAAAAAAGGCCAGCAACAGTAAGAATATTTCACTGTGTAAAATATGGATCACTGACAGTAAAAGCTCTCACCAAAAACAAGGGTGTTAAGAGCTGAAATATCAAATAAACATGAGATAAATGCCCTCCCTGTTCGTTTCAATTTGCACTTTTCGACAGCTTTACAAGGTTTCACTGTGTAAATTTGTATATTTGACCACAGTGGGGCTTCAAGAAGGTCTCTTGGTTACATCTGTTCATCATCATCATCTCCTCCCCTCTGTCTCGCCCTCCCCAGTCTGCTGACACTGACGGTTTCGAGGTGAGTATCTCATCCCTCTCTCTCTCTCTCTCTTTCTCTCTCTCTCTCTCTCTCTTTCTCTCTCTCTCTCTTTCTCTCTCTCTCTCTCTCTCTTCTCTCTCTCTCTCTCTCTCTCTTCTCTCTCTCTCTCTCTCTCTCTCTCTCTCTCTCTCTCTCTCCCTCTGTTATAATCACTGCTCTTTATGATCGGTTTGCCCTCTGCGCCCTTTCAAGATGCCGCATGTAATGAGGGCTCTGGAGGACTGTGTGAGTGGGCTATTTAGCTATTCAGACAAGATCGGCTCACACATCCCACGCTCTTTAACTCGACTCACCACCAATACCTCGAGCTGATTGACTGATTGTTTGTCCTGCTCGCAAGGTCACACACTGGGTGTAGCTGGAGCGGCTCAGACATTCAAAAATCCATGTCTGCTCAGTTTAAGTCAACCGCATGATTCATATGAGCAAATTGATTGTTAAATCCAACCCACCGACAAATATTAAGATGGATTCTAGAATTTAAATAGCTACAAAGACTACTTGAACTTTTTATCTTCAAAACAATGCAGTGCCATCCATTTAAAGGCATGGATTCATATATATGGCCCTTCCCACATAAGGTTACTTAAACTCTCTGTATCTTACCTCTGCATTGTGTTTGGAGGTGGAGTCAGTAGAATTGGTCGATGCAGCTTGTAAAGCTCATTCAAATTGGGCCCCTCCCACTGGGCTCATTGACACCAGAAGTGCACGCCCACTGCAGGACTTACCCGCAATTTCCACAGGCGCCGTGGTCCGTCAGCGTCACGCACTACAGAGCTAATTGCTCCCTCTTAAGTCAATGATTGTGTTTCCACAGCTTGTTCTGCGGCTCGTCTCTGGTGCATGCTAGCAGCGTCACTGCACTCGGCTCAGTTACGGGTCTTTTTTTTTGACAGGGCTCGCTGCAAGCATGCGTCAAGCTGAACTGAGTAGATCCACCCAGACAGGAAGTCAGACAAGGGAACACACAGAGCATCCAAGTGAAAGCAAGTCCAAGGTTCACTCTAGTTTTAGGACAAGCTTTAGCTGCTTGGCATTTCGCCTCACTATGATTATATTTGCTGTTCTTTACTGCTACGTCCGCAATATTCGCCGATTGCAATGGCGTCCAATCACTTAAACGTACCACCACACATGTATCTCTAATAAATAAGTGATGACTGAGCGGCATTACTTTTAGTATATATTTTCTCTTTTTTATGAAAAAGCTATGGACTATAAGGAAGAGTAAGGAGACGAGGAACACGCTGCCCTGCCAGTTGTTTGAATCTTTGTTCCCCACAGGCTCCATGTTAAACAGAAAATGCTCTGATGTGTAACAACTTAACATGCACACCTCTCCTCAGCATTGCCTTTAGCTGTCTGCATTTACCACTTTCCATTAAAACATGAAAACACAATGCAGCTCATAATGATCGTGCGGTTCCAGCAGTCATAAACCACAGCACAATGTAAGCTATTTTTCTTATTCATGAATTGACATTTGCTTCGGAATATGAACATGAACTAAAAACTAAATCTTCATAAAAAACAACAAAATTATGTATAATATAATACTAAATGTGTATATATATTTTATTAATTATAATAAATAAATAGTAAGGAGCTATATTTTACTAAATCAGTAAAGCAAAACCTGTCCTGGTCTGAGGTCAGTAACAACACGTGATAGAAAAAACTAAGCTTGATATGAAAAGAGTTTGTGTATTGCAGTAAAACGTTGAGCCTGTAAGACTCTCGTTCTTGACTGAGAACAGCTAATCAGCAGGAAGTGATAATAGCAATAAGAGTCACACAACAAAGCAACACAATGTAAACAAATATAAGCTTAAAGATAAAGATACAGATAAAGATAAACTTTATTGATCCCCCGTGGAGGAAATTTGTGCATTACAGCTCCGTTAAAGCCTCCAAAAGGAACATTCACAAGCCTAAACCACACCTTCAATCAACTGATAAGCCTATTTATACCGAGCCATCCCTCTCCACCCTGTTTGTCTCCGTTCTTCGACCCACCCTCCCTTCCTCTCATCCATCCACCCTCCTTTCTCATCCCTTCATCCTCTTTGTCTAATTCTAGGCACTGTCTGGACCGTGATCAGCCCGGGCAGATATATGCCTGAGACAGAACCCCCATCCTGAGTCGCTCTCTGGCCTGCAGTCAGTCCATCCTCCCAGACAAGCCACCTGACAACGTCCTCTTCCATCATAATCATTATCACATTACCTTGTCACAACATTCATTTGATCCATCATTAAATATGTAAAACGCATATTGTTGTGGCATGGTCCAAAGTTAATCATTCTAAAATAAACAAACACTTTCTGACATGGATCGATGAATACGAAAAACAACAAAAACTGACCCTTTATTCACGTCCAAATCACACTAAGCACAGCACATTTGCGGTAATACAGTACAGTAAATGTACTTCAATTTAAGTGTTTCATTTAGACAATTCTTCTGTTCTGAGCTTTAGTGCAGTATTTATCCTTTTCTTTCCTCCATGTTCAATCTTCTCTTAAAACAAAAAAGTTTATTGAATTGAAATTAGTCCATTTCCTTGAGTGAGAAGCAGGAAAGTCAAACTAGTTTTTTCATGAAATATCAAACCAAGACATCCACTTTCAAAACAATACATTCAAATGTAAAAACATTTAACATAATTTTCTTTGCAAGGACTGCTGGATAACTTTATTAAGCTATTGTGTTTTAAATATAAGGACGAATTGAAGATTACTTAGAAGGTTTTTGGGCTGCATGTTTTGGACTTACTGGCTCTATGATATTTTGAATTTGATAATTATAATTGATTATTAATTAATAATAACTTAAAAAACTAAAGTCTTCAACCCTTCAACAGGCATGCACAATAAACGTGAAAACTGAACTTAGGACTTTGTACTGAGAGTGTGTGTGTGTGTGTTTTTAAAGCCCCGCCCACGTCTGCCAGTCGACCAATGAACGGCTTAGTGTAGAGTCGCACATGCTTCGGCGTCATCCTACGTAGGTCTTCCGTGTCAACATGGCGGCTTCCATGGCATCACAGGCTGCAGCAAGAGGACTGAGGACAACAACCTCAAAGAACATACTTCTCGATAAACTCAAGGTACAATAGCAGCGTACTTTACTAAGAATGCGTTTCCACCGCTATCGGGTGTTTTGTGCTGTCTCATGCCCGCTGTCATCGTCTCAGGGATCAGTTTGTGTAGCTACGGAGCTAGCAGGTTAGCATGTGTGAGCAGAGAGGGGGCTGGACTGACCAAAGTTGAACATGTGTCAGCCCTGACACTGCTCATGTAACACCTACCTTTAATGTGAAAATGCAGTGCTGAAATCACGTAGCATACCGGTCACGACTTCCGTTTCTCATAATTACATTGTTAAATCGTTGCTGAGGAAATCCTTACTGAAGTCTTAACTAATGTCAAACTGCTAAGTAGCCTAAAGCTATCTTTCCTCCTTGACATGAACATGTTATGAAACGATGCCATTGTGTGAAAATATGCAATTTAAATAAGCATTGAGAGTTTTTAATAAGTCAGCAAAACATGTCTGTCAGAGTTTTTGCTTTATCCCTTTTTTATTTGCCATACTTTGTTTAATACCCTTCACATTGTGGACTGTGTGGACACTTAGTTGAGGCTATTATAAACAGTATACATGTTCACAGGCTTAGAGACATCTAATGCAGATATACCTTAGTAATGACCCCAGAGCTCAAAGTGTCTAACTGCAGCTTCATGCCAGATAAGACAACAGTGAAAAGGTTAACTGTTGCACTTTGGTCCTCTGATGGCTGTGAGCTGTTTTTCCACAGCTCACAGAATTCATCTGATAAGGTTGATTATGTACACAGTGGTCTTGAGCCACAGTACACTTTACCTCTTTCTCTCTCTCTCTCTCTCCGTCTGTCCACTTTTTGAACAAATTTTTACACTTAACGACAAATACATTTAAAAAAAGTGCTGCTTTTGAAGCCTTGTAAATGACCGTAATCCAAAACAACCCCCCCTGCCTTGTATTGACTTACAGGTTGTGCAGGGTATTTTTTTTTTTTTTTGCCATACATGTCAAAGATAAATAACTGCCTCTTCACAAGTTGGATATTTTCCTCTTGAATCAGTTTAAGATATCTGGACTTTCCTGTCACTGTATCTCTATAAATATTTGCATAAGTACAGATGTGTTGACTGAAAGAACCGAGCAGGATCCTGTTGATACTGTAAACATTGTTCCATTGAAGAAGGGACACTGTTGGCTCTGTGTAAACATTACAGTTAGACTATCATGGACTTTCGTAATGACTATATTTTCATTTCTGCCTTGCCGTGTTGTAGTATTTTAAGGAGCATATTGTCTTTGCACTTGGAAGAGTTTTTAAATTAAGTGGAACAGGAGGATTTGGATATCTGGTGAAGCTAGAGCACAATGGTTCTGAATGATCACAGCTCTAAAGAAACATTGTGCGTCACAAAGTGCAGTAAGGTCATCAGGGTGCAGGCCAGAGGTCGTACTGATTATTAGATTTTAGATTATTGACTCTAAGTGATTTCTGACAATAAACAGTCAATTTGAACTTTAATTTGAGAAAATATGAACTCATGCTCACCTTTTCCCTAAAAAGAATTGTTGATTTTAAATTAATTAATTGTAAAGTATTATGACAGCGAAGATACCTATTGTGTTTCTATGTGCAGAATGACCAGAAGAGGACAGGTAATTCCCGTCCTGCACCCCCCCCCCTCTCAGTTTTGAAACAAAAAGCAAATGTTCTATGACATCTGCTGTCTTCTACCTTGAGCCACATCACACATGCTGCTGCTTTTTCATTGGCTGAAGAGATGCTACTGATCGATCGGTTTAAACATGAGAGAGTTAGACTGACATTTTACACAAGCACAAAGTTAAGGCTGCTGCCCCTTGTTGGTGCAGAGGAGAGTCTATTCAAAAATGTCTTCAAGAACTATAGACTAGTACTGAATTGTGTTCCAGCATTAAAAGTGTGGGAAGGGGTCGGGAATCAATATAATTTCACCATCATACGCTCAGCTGATATGACAGTTTGTTGCTGGGGAGTAACACTCACTGGCCCGCTGGGGTCCACACGATGCATAGACAGTTTATATTATTTAACACTCGTTTATGACAATTGGACATTTATTTCCTTTCTGTGTTGTAACGGATCACATTGTTTTCAATGGGGGATCAGGTTCGTGGTGTCGCTGTTTTAGCTGCACTTCTCTTCGGCACAGTTAACAGAGAACTTTACTCTGTTTTTTATCGGACTGTAAAGAGCCAAAATGTCTCTAAACTCCTGAAGTTTAGCGGTCTTTCTTGTCATCTTGTCGAGGATAATTTCTCCTGTTTTTTTCCGGCTGTTTCCTTTCCGCTCCTGAGGTCTGTAAGCCCGCCTACCCATATCCCTGCGACATGATTGGCTGTTCTTGGTCCTTTTCTTCTTCTCTGTAATGTCAGGTGGCAACGAGTGTTTAAGGCGCATTAGCCCCCCCCCCCTCTTTCCCTGTGATTGGATGGTTTAATTACAGGTTTAAATCTATCGAACTTTTATCAAACAATTTTGATATTTATATTGACAAAAATAATATTGCGATAATTATCGTTATCGTTTTATCGCCCAGGCCTTTTGAGACTGATTGTGAGGTACATGCAGCCTTTAATAGGGTTTAACTTTCATCACAGTGTTGTTCAGTCTTCAGGCTTGACTCCCATTGTGTAGAAATTAGACGACTGAAGTGAGATGAACAGACTGAGACTGAACAGTTCTTGATTACATTTGAATTTGTGTACATAATAAGCAGTTAAAAAAGTTAAATCTCAATATATTTTATTGCAATTCTCAGCATATCGCAAAATGTTTAAAATCGCAATAATATCGAATCGTGACTCAAGTATCGCAATAATATATTATCGTTGGGCCTCTGGTGATTCCCACCACTAGTATCAGCCCTGTAGTGATGTTGTAATGAATGAATACTTGCTTCTCTATGTTGTCCAATTCAGAAGAGTTTTCACCTCTACTTTTCTATTCCACTCAGTGTGTTGTTGATATGTCAACTACATACACGCATGTCTTAAAGTGATCAGTAGTAATGTGAAAGTTGATCTATTTTCTCAAAATGTAAGGTTTTATTTACGGGTGTCTGCAGTGAAATAGCTTTTTTAAAAACTTGTATGTTTACACTCACTGGCTGTTGTATCCGCCTCTGTTCCTGCTTCCATTTGTGTCCCTTAGCCTTTTTTATTTCTCTCGCTCTCTCTTTCTCTCCCGGGCCAGGTGATAAGAGTAATGATGGGGGATTCTCTCTGGTCTGCATCACAGTGTCAGAGCCTGAGAAACTGAGTGACAGCTCGGTATCTCGACAATAAAATCAAATCAGCTTTGACAGTATGTCAGCTCAGCTGAGAAATTCAGTTTACAATGATTTGTCAACGCCGATGCATAGGACATCACAATATTCAGATGGTTAAGCTCCAGGATGCTCTTAAATGGGAGTGGGATGTTGTTTTTATACCCCATGCTCTCGCTTTCTCTCTGTCCCTCTCTGACTTTCTCTCATAAATCAAATCTCCTGAATTCTTGTCTGCACAGCGAGATAATCCTCAGGCTGTTTTTCACTGTCACTGCACAGTGGTGAATTTGTAAACGTTTGCTAACTTTTTATTTTTTGTAAGGTGTTCTTGCTCAGTAATAACCCAGCAGCCCAACACGGTTTGAAGGGAAACACTAGGAGGAGAGGTGGCTCAATGAGCCTCAGTCCTGAATATTTTACAGAGGGGGGTGGAGAGCACGAGTCTTGCAAAGACTTCTTTGCTGGAACTTCAAACGACGGGCGGCTTCCCCATCTGTCTCAGCGAGAACACATTTACATTTCCTCCCCGCAAGGGATACTGGAGGACGAAGTTAGCTCTAACTGGATTTGAATATCGCTTTACCAAGGTTAACAGCCATTTCTGTAGCTGGTGAGGTGCTTAGGCTTTTTCAATAATTTAGAAGGGCTGCAGTCATTAGGAAATGTTGGCAGCCACTGAAATGGGGAATGCAATGAGTGAATGCACTGCGATAAGCTTAATTCCTGCTGTTGTTGTAGTGAGGATAATGAAGAAAAAGAGGGAGTGAGGCTGAAAACGAGTTGAGAAAACAATGTCAGTGATTGCTGACAGCTGTAATTTATTTTAAGTGCGGTATGTTCAAGATTATGTTCAGATCTCATACTGGCTTATCCATCATTTTTGAAATCAGACCTTCAAACATATTGGAGGTGTGGGGCACTAGTGGCCTTGTGGTTGGTGCGCCCTCCCCATCCCCATGTACAAAGGCTGTAGTCCTCAGAGCGGGCGCCTCGGGTTCGAGTCCAAACCGTGGCTCTTTTCCCGTGTTTCTTTCCCATTCTCTTTCGCCCAGATATCAGACTCTATCCACTGTCCTGTCTCTAGATAAAGACTTGAAAGTTCCCAAAAATAAATCTTTAAAAACCTTGCTGGATGTGTGATAGTTTTCATAATTTAGTTTGCCTTTTTGTTATAGAGACTTGAAACCATCAGTTAATGTATAGAAAGTTTGAAGGAGCTGATTGTATGTTTTTTGTGCTGTAAATAATCAGTAAGTGTACAGTTTAAAATGTGCACAGTGTTACAGAAACATGGCTGCTGCTATAGTGGCCATGGAGACTCCAATAAAGATGCTATCTTAAAAGTAATAAATGATGTCCACACACCTGGTGTGTATGGAGCACCAGGGGATCGATACTTTTTTAAAACTCTTATCTAAAACCCTTTTCACACATACAGAAAACTCCTGAAAAACTCCAGAGATTTGGCTACCCGGAGGGGATTTAGGCTATATGTGAAAGCAAACAGCCACATTTTTCACGCAGACTTTACACAGAGTTTCTCCGGCCAGACCCTTAGTATTTTTTCCGCAGAAAGTCCAAGTGAGCTGATGTGAGAATGCGGCAGCATAGACTCCGGAGAATTCACCTCGAGCCAATAGGACCCCAGTGATGTTTATATACAGTGAATGCCTAAAGTGTCTGCACACGACCACTACGATCTCCGTGCACGTCATTAAACGGCTGCATTATGTTT